TCAATCGAAGCGGGGTCAAGGTCGACTCTGTTAAAACAGCAGCCATTTGGGATTGGGCCAAACTAAACAACAAAACAGATGTCCAATGCTTTATGGGATTCTGCAACTTTTATCGAAGGTTCATAGAGGGGTTTAGCAGGCTTGCAAAACCACTCTATAATCTAACGAAAAAAGACAAGAAATGGGAATGGGGAGAAGCGGAAAAAAAAGCATATGATGCAATACGAACGCATCTAACATCGGCACCCATATTGGTCCATTTCAACCCAAACAGAAGGACAATGATCGAAACGGACACCTCAAAATATGTATGCTCAGGCATACTATCACAACAATGCGACGACGGAAAATGGAGGCCAGTGTCCTATCGATCCAAGACAATGACTCCCGCAGAGTGCAACTACGATGTTGCAAACAAAGAACTATTAGCAATAGTTCAAGTATTAAAAGAATGGAGAAGATACGTTTCGAACAACGAACATCCAGTCCGAGTTCTAACCGACCACAAGAACCTGGTGCCGTTCATGACTACGAAAGAACTGAACGACCGCCAGATAAGATGGATGGAACACCTTAGCAAATACAACTTCAAGATCGAATACCGACTAGGCAAAGAAAGTGGAAAGCCAGATGCTCTCATAAGGATTGCAAGCGACAAACCACAAACGAAAGAAGACGAAAGGATCAAACAAAAAACACGGACCCTATTACCAAAAACCTATTTCGAGGCAATGGAGGTTATCCAATTCACATCAAAGGAAGAAAGAGGAATTGAGAACGCAAACAAGAAAGACAAAACAATCCAGACAATAAGAGAAGCCTTAAAAGAAGGAAAAAAGGAGATAAAAGGAATTGCACTGGGGTTATGCCAATGGAAGGACAGAAATATATGGTACAATGGAAAACAATGGATCCCGGAAGAAGAGGAGATAAGGACAGACATCATACGACAACACCATGATATCCGAACAGCAGGACACGGAGGAACGGCTAAAACCACAGAATTCGTCACGAGGTCATTCTATTGGCCAGGACTGCGCAAAGATGTCAAACGATATGTCAAAAACTGTGACATATGCCAAAGGACGAAAACGGCTAAACACGTACCATATCGATTACTAAAATCAAACGAAGTCCCTGAACAACCGTGGGAAACAATTACTATGGATTTCATCAAGGACCTACCAACATCGGAAAATTGCGATAGCATCTTGGTCGTGGTGGATCACCTAACCAAAATGAGTCATTTCATTCCGGTTAGAAAAGACATCAACACGAGGGATTTTATACAAATATTCTTCCGAGAGGTCTTTCGACTTCACGGCCTCCCAAAGAATATTAGTACCGATCGAGGAACACTATTCACATCGGGACTATGGAAGAAAGTAACCGGAGAAATGGGGATACAAAACAGAATGAGCACAGCGTTCCACCCACAAACAGATGGACAAACAGAATGGGTAAATGCGATACTCGAACAATATTTAAGGGCCTATGTCAACTATCAGCAAGATGATTGGTACAAGCTGTTATCCATGGCCGAATTCGCATACAACAATGGAAAGCAAGAAACAATTGGCACGACACCCTTCTTCGCAAATTACAGACAAGATCCACAAAGTCAGACTACATATCATACGATTAATGATGTGATACCGGATAAAACCGATATGGGGAAACTACACGAAACATTACAATACGAAATGAGTCAAGCACAACAACGACAGAAGGAACAATACGGTAAGCACCGAAGACCAGATCCAAACATACAACCAGGAGATATGGTATGGCTAACACCACGCAATATTCATACAACGCGACCATCAAAGTAATTGGACTACAAGAAAATAGGACCATTCCGGATACTGGAAAAAGTGGGCAGCCGAGCTTATAAACTCGACCTTTCCCCCTCAATGCGAATACACAATACATTCCACATCTCACTCCTCGAACTACATAACGACAATAAGTTTCCTTCACAAACACTTATTCCTCCCCCTTCGATGGAACTCAACAGAGAACCAGAATACGAGCTCAACGAAATAGTCGATTCCCGCTTCTTCCACGATCACCTCCAATACCGAGCCAAGTGGACAGGATATTCTCCTGAACACGATAAAACTTGGTACTTCACACAAAACTTCGAAAACGTACAAGATACCATCTCAACCTTCCACCAGCGATACTCAGGCAAGCCCGGCCCAGGTGACGATCACGTTCAACTAAGACAAAGGAGAGGGAAAGACTCTCGCGCCGTTGCAGCAACACGAGGGCTGGGGTGATAGCCTCGCCAAACCACACCCACCAGCCCCGAATACTCATTCATGGGGCCAACAGACGAAGAACTCAAGGAAAGGGAAAGACAAGCACAGCATAACGCCATGCCATGGACGGTATGCTACGATGACGGTTGCCAAACACACTTTGGCGACAAAGAAGACTCGGGATGGTTCTCGAGGGAATGTCGAAAGCGTAGCCCACGCCCAGACCACGTCCTGAAGCATTGCCAACAATGCTTCAGAAATGGGTGTAGGATGCACAGGGCACAAAAAATATCTGCGGGATTCTACCCGCAGAAGGATAGAAGCCGAAAAGAGTTGGAAGGAGAAGATGCCAGAAAGGCATGGGCCGCAAGGACGCGGTCCAAGGAGGGAGGGGCCCAAAATTCCTCGGCAGACACGGAACCGGATGTCAGGAGCCTACACAGGCAGATCCGGGGACTCCGAGAACAACTGGGCCAAGCCGAGGCCACAATTTCGGCAAACAACAAAACGATCAACGAGCTTAGACAGCTGAACGACAATCAGTGGCACACGATCGAGATGGCGAATCTGACTCTGGAATCGGTAAGGGTCAGATGGAGGATGGCAGACAAAAAGTTCCACAAGCTGAGAAGGACCATGCGCTCGGCAGGACGGGAACTATTGAAACTGGGAGAAAAAGCCTGATGGGACTCAGGCTTAGGAGGAGGGGAGCTAATGTCACGAACGTGGCTTAGCGAGGAAAGGGTTTTCACGTGACACATGGTTATGAGTCACAGGTATGTTATCGTTTCACGCATATGACCTATTCGGGTTATATGATTAGTTATGTGTGGGATTTGTGATGCTTTCGCACATGGCTCAAGTATGAGTTATAGGACATGCGCCTGACGAGTATGCCTTACGAGTGTGCCTTACGGGTAAGCCTTGCGCATGATTTATATTTCACACATGACCTCATTATGATGTTATGGGTTTCGTGCATATGACTCAGTTGAGTCATATGACTTGTTTATTGCGTTATGATTGGTTTATGAGTTTCGCACATGACCTTGCTATGAGGTCATGGGTTTTGAGCATGTGATCACTTTGGTCATATGACTAGTTTGTTATGATTTAGTTTCGCACATGTGACCACTTTAGGTCACATGATTAAAGGCAGGAAGAACACTATATAAGGAGGCCGATGCGGCCGAGGAAGATAGGTTCTTCACGCTTTATTCTAAGTACTTTTCCTACTTATTACTTTAACGAATATAAAATACCTTTACGATCTTTATCCTTATTGCAATGTTATCGTTACACCCAGGAAGGCGCTTTACGAAGAAGAGTTAGAGAAAGCTTACGATAGGCAGTCCCGGTAGAAGACAAGGGTCTTGTACTATCGGTAACGTAGGCAGAGGCCTAGAGCTATCGTAAGACAAAGGAAGAAGACAGGAAGAGAAGTATCGTTCCCCATTGCCAAGCACTAACTATCCAAAGAGGGATTGTTACACCAGCCCAAGTCCCTCTGGTATGGGACCAACCGCACATCCGCCCCCATAAAAGCTCCTTCTGCACAAAACAAAAAATGCACAAAACAGGACCGGCAGGAGCCAACAAGAAAACCCACACCGTATTCTCTTGAGAAAGGAAACACAAAAGAAACCCAACAAAGGAAACCACCTTGATAAACTACGTTTCCCATTTTTCAACTGGTCCAGCCTTAGCTAGCAGCTAGGAATATAGGGGAGAACCATGACGCATTCACTTTGTATGATAAAGGTAACCGACCTGGATGTACCGGCCCCTATTGGAGTGATCGTTTATATCTGGTCGGATGGGGGAATGACTGGAGGCAGTGCAATACCAACCACACGTTGCCGAGTAACCCAGACATTGGTAAAGTAATAAACCTAACCAAGCAAAAGAACCCAGAGGGGCAGAAGAGTAGTCGCAACCTCACACAGCTATAGCCGAGGTGGCTACCATAGAGGGAGGGGGAGAACAGGAACCACAATCTGGCAGAGGGACCCAAAGTCCAACACCAGAGGGGGTGAAAATTTCGTTTAGCCTCACGATGAGGTTTGGTGTCCAGGCTTATGAAGCTTCCAAAGTTCAGCACAGGAGAGAGGATCGTGAGGTGGTAGAGTTTGGTGTTGACAACCACCACCACCTTCCCAAACAGGAAGGTGAAAAGCGGGGTCAGGAAAATAGCGGAAGAGAAGCTTGCCCCTTGCATGGACGCCGTGGGTATATACTTGTACTCAAGTACGAACTTCACCTTTTCTTCCCCTTCCTATCTCTCCGTCCGATGTTTTCTCGTTTGTTGTGTGGCCCGGTGGCCTTGCATGCGTCCCCCCCCTCTCCTTCGTGATTTTGCCGTCTTTTTCTACTTCTTCTGGAGAGCCTTGGATACCGCACCCGTGGCTCGCGGGGGTGAGTTTGTTGATGAACATGTCGGGGGACTGCCTGGGTTTGCGAGTGATTTTTTGTGAGTGTGTCTGTCTAATGGGGAGGTGCGCAGGGCTCAGGGCTCGCGTGGGTGATGGCCATTAGAGCAATGTCACCCATGTCACTCGCCAAAGCACATGTTGTCATGGTTTCTTCACCAAAAGTTGCACTCGCTCGCTCGTTCGCGCTGCAATTTGCCTAATCATTCATAACTACAATACAGGCCCGCAAAAGCCTCGATATAAACATAATTTAATCGACTTGGGGGGAAAAAAAGCTAACTCATATCATACATCCCAGGGCCCTCTAGTGCAAGGCTTTCTTGAACTTGTACCCTATAAGCTCAATGGTAGCCTTGGCACCTGGAGCTTCGGAAAGTACATCAATGCTGGCAAAGCCGTGAATGGTCCCGAGAACTCTAATGATGGCAGCACGAACACCCAACTTCTGCAACCTCCTTCCAAAATCCTCGCCCTGCTGTCTAATCGGATCCACTTCTGCGACGACTATGAGGGTTTCCGGGAACTTAGCGAGATCTTCGTCGCTCGCGCGTCCTGGGCTGGCAACGTCCTCAAGCCTTGACTTCGGATCTGGCGTGAATAGGGAAGCTGCAAAGCGGATCTCGTCCGTGGTAAGGCCGGGGCCATTGGGGAACTCCTTGAACGTTGCGCTCTCGCAGGCGAGGTCGGTAGCTGGGTAGATGAGGACTTGGAATTTCGGAAGGGGGGTTTTGCGTTTAATGCTGAGGAGGCTGACGGACGATGAGAGTTCCCCTGTACACCATTATCCCGTTAGTTCGTGGGCGATTGGGGCGAGGAGCTGAGAAATAGTGAAGCATACCACCAGCACTATCCCCACCAAAGCCCATATTCGTCGGGTCAACGCCGAGCTTTTCGCCATGCTCCAGCAACCATTGCACAGCGGCATAACACTGCTCATTCGGGACCGGATACGCCACCTTGGGAGTGAGCGTGTAATCAACAAAGAATACAGCAGCACCCGACTCACGAATCAGGTTAGTGATGAGCCCCCGGTAACTCTTCGGGCCTCCGAAGACCCAACCGCCGCCTAAAAAGCTCGAGCCCTCCAATTAGCACTCCTTCCTACCAATCCATCATCATTCCACGGGGCCAGTACAAACAGACCATGAAAGTAAGCGATAACGGGCAACAAGTCCTTCCCCTTCTCCCTCTCGCCGGATACCGGTTTGTAGAGGTAAGCAGTGACATTACCAGTCGGGCCAACGGGGAGGGAGAGGATTTTGGTAGTGAACTCAGTTGAAGGGTCTGATACGTTGCTCTGGTACCCATCACGTATCTCGGGAAGTGGAAATGCGAAGAGTGATGGTCTGCTACTGATTGCGTCGGCGTAGGCTTGGGTGATGGGATCCAGCTGGGGAGTGGTCACATTTGTCACTGGACAGGAGGGAGCGGGGGTTTCCGCTAGGACTAGAGGGAGCGAGAATGCGAGAACGGACAAGATGGTGAACCTCATGATTGAGTGGGCTTTTCCTTGGAAATTGACCAATTGAGGGGGGAGGAGGTGAGTGAGCGGTGGGAAGAAAGAAGTGGACGGAGAAGTAAAACGAGATGCAATATATATATATATATATATATATACTAGAATTGAGGGATTTGGGTCCCTGGAGATGGCAATACTGAACGATGAATGCCTGACAATGTACCTATAGGTATTACCTTAGCAGCATGCATGCATATCGCCGTCGTGGTTACAGAACGTTCGGGTGTGATTACAAAATCAAGTACCGGTACAGTATCTCATAACCTGTCCGGTGCTACCACGGCTACCGTCGTCAATGGGTGTTACTATATTATATGAATGCATGTAAAATAGGATGATGCTTTTGACCGCTTCCAGCGCTCATATTGGTAGTCAACATATCCGTAATTCGCCGTGAGGAAATTGCTTAAGGAAGGAAGCGAGAGGTAATCCGCTGAGAACTCCGACATCGTACTCGTAGACAGGGAAAAGGGACAAGCGAGCGAACGAACGAACAAATGGTCCTGACTATTCCCCTCTAGCATCCAACTTTTTTAGCGTCTCCTCGGCAATCTCAATAACCCCATCGGGGATTCCTAGTAGTACGCCAGCCCCCCGTCAGCACTTGGATTTTTGCTCCTGCAGAAAAGGGACGAAAAAAGTATCAAAGGTGGGGCGGCGCAATAGGATAGCCTCAAATCCTTCACTTCAACGATAGATAGATAGATAGAGAGAGAGAGAGGTATACAGAGAGGGCAGAGGGGTGACAGACCAGCAAGTCTAGCGACTTTCAACGCGTGAGAATTTCTATTCACCCCGGGCCGAACTCTATGGTCGAAAGCGAAGCTCTCCCCGTCCTCCATAATATCGGTACAATAACAACCTACACCCTTGAAAGGCTTCGCAAGGTCGGTGAGGTCGTGAAAGTGGGTTGCGAAGAGCACCCTACACTGGTTTTGGCGGTAGAGATGATGTAAGCAAGCGTAAGCTACTGCGAGTCCGTCCTTAGGTGTTGTTCCGCGCCCGACTTCGTCCATTATCACCTTTTTGGGTTTTTTTGTTTAGTTAGCATGAGAGATCGCTCACCCTATGGGGGGGGGGAGGGGGGAAGGAACAAATGATCTTGGTGTGGCGGATCTCAAAATCTCCGCTGTTTCAAGCATTTCAACCATGAACGTGGACTGGTCTTTGAAAAGGTTGTCCGCAGAACCAACCTAGCCACCATCAGCATCGATACGAAAAAAAGGTCACCAGTATACAAAGGAAAGTGCACTCTGCTGAAGATACGATCCACAATCCCGATCTCGGCAACTTCGGCCGGTACAAAACTCCCGACCTGCGCTAGGATACTTATCAAAGCATTCTGACGCAGGAACGTGCTCTTTCCTGCCATATTCGGCCTGTGCCCCCACCATATACCGTGAGCCCTGAATTAACAACCCTGAAACCCAGAACAAGCTTAAAACATACCCGGTGATAACCCAGAGCCTTTCCCGATCACCTACGAAGCAATTGTTAGGCGTGAATGTACGTCCTTGACTCTGGAGCCCAGTCTCAACGGTGGGGTGTCTGCCTCCGACGATTTTATGGGATACGCTGGGCCGGGAAGGGGGGTCAAATCAATTCCACTCTAATATGGTTCTGGCAAGCAAGGAGAGGAGGAGGGGGGGGGGATACCCTAGGTTCAGCAACGGCCTGACATGATTCTGCTCTCTAGCTAACGTAGCAAACGAACAGGCAATGTCAATCCTATCTAACACAGATGCGTTCTTACGAAGTGTTGATAACGACTTTATAATGTCCGCGCGCAAACTCTGCAAGACGACCTGCTCCTCCGTTCGGATCTGGGTTCTTATCCCGTCGATGCGGATCCCCAACTCGGTCCATTCCTGTTGCTCGATTAGTTGCCAAGCTTGATTAGGTAAAGGGAAATGGACAGACGGGAAGCTGCAAGGACATGGTACTCTTGCTAGCACTAACTCTCGTAGCGCCAGTGATACCTTTATGATCGAGGTCTACATCCTTCCCTTTAACATGGCATATATGGCCCACTCTCGGCGTCCATCTTAGCGTCAATGATTGCGCACCTGGTTTTTTCTCAAATCACGTTGCCACACCCCCTTATCAGCAATACTGCCCGCTGCAGCGATAGAAACGATAGGCAAGAGGGACGGATGGACAACCAATCTTCTTAGTCAATTCAGTCTCCAAATCCACCCTCTTCTGGTCAAGGTCGTCCAGCTTATTATGTAATTTCTCTAAGGTTATGGAGGCACTACACGAACACGGGAAAAAATGAATGCCAAGAGAAAGAATAAGCCAAATGCAATTGTATGTTTTGTGATACGAGCATGCTTTTCAGGGGCTGTAGTAACTGATGCCGAACCTTTTATGCATAATCCACGCTTCTGTCTTTTCCATGTCCTTCTCTGAAAGCATTCTTCTGCCCACTTTTGGTCCCACTCTTGCCCTCTTGGATGTGGAGGAAGGTGTGGTGGGAGCAACAACGGCTGCTGCATGGTCGAGGTAATCTTCCCCGGTGATCGCCTCATCCGCTTCGGCTAGTGCTGCTGCGATCTCTTCTTCAGATTCTTCCAGTCGCAATTTTTGAAGGAGGCCTTCCTCGTCGATGGAGTCTAGGATTCGTTTTGCTAATTTAAGTGGGACGCCCACGTCTCCCGTCAGGTTTTCTACGCTTGCGGCGTGAGTCAACTTTTCAGATCTTAATCTCTCCAGGATTTTCTGAGTGATTTGTATCGTGCGGGCAAGCCCCACGAGATCCTTCGCACCCCCGCGAGCCAGAGACATTCTCTGGAGAAGGCGTTGGGAGTCATGGGTGCGTTTTAGTAGACCTTGAATGTCTTGCCTTAGGTGGGTATCGTTTTTAAAGGTTTCTACAAGGTTGAGTCTGTGTTCTATAGCGGTTATGGAGGTAATCGGAGATTCTTATTTTCACCTTTAGTTAGTATCAGGAGCATAAAGTGTACATCCGAAAAACAAAAAGGGGGGGGGCGAATATATAGATACTTATCCAATTAGACAACAATCTAGAACCGGATTGTGTCATTGTTTGCTTTATGATACTCAACAAGGCTCCCTTGCGTAACCCATCTCTCGACGTTTGTATAATCTCTAGTCCTCTCATGGTAGCACTATCAATGATCATAGCATCAGTCATCGTCTTCCGAACCGGCGGTTGTAACCTCATAGCCATTCCCGGCAATCTCGTTTGGGTATAATCAAGCAGTATGTTCCCAGCCTGAACCTCAATGTCCCTCATCTCCATAATAGTAGTCTTACTGATCCTCGTTTCAATCATGTCCTTCCAATCCTTAACCTCCCTCAGCATAACCCGCATATCGACAGAATGTATGGTGATGAAATACTGTTCCCTGCGAAGTGCTTCCTCAAGCCCACTCTCACGGGCACCCGAATACTCAGAACCCAGGAGCACTACTTCCTTGGGCCCAATCCTCGCAACATCAGCACGCACATCCCCCACCGTGGTCTCCTGCGTGAAGAAGTCCCCGGTGGACAAATCCAACCATGCCAACCCAACCTCCCTGTCACTCTCCACCCCGCTCCCCGCCGTAAGGGCCAGCAAGTAATGGCTCTCGCCGAGTTCCATAAAATTCTCGTCGATCAGCGTCCCGGGCGTCACAACCCTCGTGATCCTCCGATCAAACAGCAGACCCCCCTTCTCGGGATTCGGGTACTCCTCACTGACGGCAACAAACTTCCCGTGATCCTGAACGAGCACCTTTAAGAAGCGATCCAGCGCCGAAAACGGAAAGCCGGCCATGGAGACACTGCCAGCGGAGGTCCTCTTCTGCGCCACTTTCAGCCCCAGCAATGGGCCGTACTCCTCCGCCGCTTCGAAGTACATTTCGTAGAAGCCGCCAACGCGAGTTAACAGCACGCAGTGTGGGAATTTACGCATGTTGTTGCGGGCTTGCTGGATTGTCGTCGGGTAGTCCGGCTCACCGGGCGGTGCTGGAGGTTCGAGAGGTGGGAGGGGGGCTAGTAGTCCCTGGGGGATTTCGGAAACCTTCTTCGTGCTCTTTCTTTTGCTTCGTTGAAAAACCTTTGGAAGGCATGTTTGCTTTTGGATTACTGGCCTATGCGGGATCAAGAGGACTCGGAAAGAGTGGTTTCCAGCGAGCACGCTATAGGAACGTGAGGTGGCATACCTCCTTACAACAATTGAGTTTAGGCATCTCATGGTTCGCGATTGTTGGTGGGATTGTTCGTGGTGGGATTTCGAAACAGAGACTGGAGGATCAAGGGCTAGAATTTGGCTGCCTGACTGCATCTTATCTAATCAATCACAATAAAACCGCGATATCACGTGTGAATATGATACAGACAAATGTTTCGGAAGCTAGACTCCGCCAGCCATGCAATTCGAAATTCTAAAAAAATACAACAAGATACCGTACAGATCTTTTCTCACAGACGAGAAAAATGCTTTTGTAACTGTTTATCGGAACAAAGGAAGAAAGAAATTATAGGAATGCTGGTGTATAATAAACCATAATCAAGGGAAGGGATAGAGAGAGCCACTGATGGGCTTCAAGGACTTTCGGCATCTTGTCAAAAACTTCACCTTTTTCTTCCCCCGAAAAACAATCGACAAGAGACGATGATGATAGAGGAGGAGGAGGAGGATAACTAAGAAATACGGCATGGCACAAATGTGGAAAACTACGGGACAGCAAGTATGAAGAAAGTTAGAAAAAAAGTGCGGAGGCAAGAAAAAAAAACAGGGTGAACACTGTATCCATGGAATCAAAAAAAAAATCAAAGTCTGAACCCATCCTCGCCAACCGTTTATTTCCTGTAAAAAGACGAAAGAAACAGAGGAAAAGAATTGAGAAGGAGCCATTGATATGAAAATAGCACACACCCCTAACTATTAACGGATCTTTCCATAATGGATGACAGAAAAAATATCCACCCAGGAAAACCATGTTAAAACGCCATTTCCATACCCTTTGCTTTCTCAGTTTGACAAGAATTGAGCCATACACTGCGCCCCACCCGCCCTACATCGCCGCTCAGAAAAATAAACCCCCATACCCATTTTATCATTTTACCGCGTTAAAAGAAATTCTGATTTCTTCTACTGACTCGCGCACTGCACTCTCTCAGCACCCTGGTGTGGGTCTTCATCGTCTTCCATCGCATTGGCATTAACGCGAGCTTGCTGACTCTGATCGACCTCCTCCAGGACCACATCATCAACCATAGCATCGGCCGGGATCTCAGGAATGTTCCTCGGGGGAAGGATGGATTCGAGCATAACGATCTTCTCCGTGTCATTAAAATGATCGGGCGGGAACTTGACATCGAATTGAATGTACAAATTGCCGTAATCATGATGACGATAAGAGGGCATGCCCTGCCCACGAACAACCTTGATGGCGCCTGTGCAGAATCATAAGTATCGAAAGGTATATATCGAGGGCCAATCAAAATTACTTACCAGGACTAACGACTTCACCGGGGTTGATAGTTACCGTCAACCAACGCTCATCAAGATGTTCAACCGCAATAGTTCCGCCAGCCAGTGCGGTAAGAAGGTCGATCTCAGCTTGGTAATACAGGTCATCTCCTTTCCGCTGGAATCGAGCATGGGGCTTCTGTTCAATAACGAAAATTACGTCTCCAGGGGTGATATCCGGACCCTGATCACCTTCTCCCTTAAAAGTGACCTTCTGCCCATCTTGCATACCCTTGTCGACATGGACATGCAGAACTTTTCGCTCGGTGATAGTCTTCTTCCCGTGACAGGTTTTACACCTATCCTTGTCCTTGATCATCTCTCCCTCACCGTTACAGTCGGAGCAGACAGTCTGGAACCGTTGAATCATAGGACCCATCTGGCGCATCATAGTCTTCATACCCACACCATCGCAACCGGTACACTTTTTGACAGAGCCCTCCTTTCCACCACGACCTGCGCACTTGGAACAAAGAACACTCTTTTGCAGGGCAAGCTTGGAAACCTTGCCCTTGTAAAGGTCTTCGAGTGCGACTTTGTGAACATGAACGATATCCCGACTCTGTAACGCACCTGCCCGTTAGCGTACTTAGGAACTACACAATTGCCGAAAGGATACACACCCGCTTAGGACCCTGTTGCTGCATTCCGCCGCCAAACATGCCGCCCATGCCGCCCATACCTCCACCACCAAAGAACTGGGAAAACAGATCTTCTGCAGACATTCCGGCGCCCATTCCACCTTCTCCAGAAAGGCCTTCCTCACCATACTGGTCATAGACATTTCGCTTCTGGGGATCGGATAAAATTTCGTATCTAATCAGAAATCAGCCAAAAAGTTTCAAGAAAACAATTGGGTAGCAATTGGAAAACTCACGCATGACCAATCTCCTTGAACTTATCTGAAGCGTCGGGGTTATGCGCATTCTTGTCTACGGTCAAAAAGAAATGAAAAGTTTAGATTCCTATTATTTTCACCACAAAATGCATACCCCTATCAATCTTTGGAATAGTCATACCTGGATGATATCTCTGTATATTTTGTCAGCGCTCGCTCAGATAAAAACACCAGCAACAAAGTCAAGCAAAAAAAAAAGAAAGAAAGCATAAAATAGGATAAGTTTCTGGTAAAAAATAAAAAAAAAGTAAAGTAAAAGACAAATGCGTGGAACACCAGTAATAATGTCCAAGTAGGAGCCGGGTCACAACTGCAGCAGGTCGATCGATGAGGAAGAAGGAAAGGGGGGCACAGTAAATAGCAAATGGGAAGGAGAAGGGAAAGAAAAGAAAAAGAAGAAAAAAAAAGCTCGATCATAAAAGCAATATTAGAAACAAGAGGAGTAAAATGTTCAACGTACCATAGCAAGCTTGCGATAAGCTTTCTTGATCTCGGCCTCGGAGGCATCGGGAGCGATCTCGAGGATCTTGTACAGTCGGTGCTTTTCCGCCTTCTGCGACATTTTTGTATTGGCTGAGTTTTTTTAAGAGTGTTCAGAGGAGGTGTGAAGAACAGCGATTAATTTATTAACCGCCGGTATTTGTTGATGGAGGAGACAGAGAGAGGGAATGGGAAAAAAGGTTAAAAACAAAAAGGTGGTTGTGTTATGTTGTTGGTCTGAGGGTAAGACTGGGCTTTTTAGAAACGGCGGGGGAGGGGTAGAAGAAACCACCGATTGCTTCCGAGAGAAACTATAAGGGTAGCGGGAACTCGATCGAAAAAGAGGCCAGACGAGGCTATAGCGGGCTGCCCAGAGGGGGAATATTCGGACGTCTGATAAAAAGGAGAACCGCTGGCTTCGTCTCAGTCGAATTTTCTCGTAGTGTGGAGAGAGTGGAAGGAAAGGGGGGACAGCAAGAAGTTTCTTTCAATCCTTCGCCCTCGCCTTCGTTCTTTTAAAATGTGCGTTTTTCGGTCTCGAAGAGGGAAAAGTACCCACAGGAAGGAACCAGATGTTAGTGGAAGGGAGGGAAAGAAAAAGGGACAAGATCAGGGAAAAGAGAGAAAGGAAAAAAACTGAATAGAAGGACTCCTGAGGCCTTTGGGGGAAAGGGTTTGGTGGAGCAAGAGCCGGGACGATCCCAGAGTAGTCTAGCTTCCCTCCCAAGACGTTCCATCGGCTTCCAAAGACCACCGCCCATTTCGGTGCTCTTCCATCAGCCTCATCTTCAAGTAAAAATAGTCCCTCCTTGAATCTTCCAATCCATTCGATCTGATAAAAAGACCCGTATGGTAAGCTAAGCCAAGACACACATCTCCTCGAGTAAACCATTATTGAAAAAAGAAAAAATTACAAGATCCTGATACAAGTAACCCAAACCTCGATTTGAATTTTTTTCTTCCCTCTTTACAACGCATCCAATTCCGAGTTAAACTCGCACACATACCGTACATATATGATACATACATACATAAGCTAAGTTAAGAGGCGGTGATTTTCGCAACCATACGAAGTAATCGGGACAGTATCATAGGATTTCAAAGCCTCCCCCCCTCTGCTCCTAGGCATCCACTCATTGAAAGCGCTTAAGCACGGCTTCCGTACCGTACCCAACGAACCTAACATGAGGTATGCTGTTGGCGGTCCCTCTGAGGAATGCCTCTTTTTCTCTCACACTCTCTTTTCCCTTCGCCCCTCTCCATCACCACCCCGGCCGTAGCGGTGGTGGTGGCGATACCAGTTATCCGAGACTCGTCAAAGGAAAGCGCGGTACAGGCTTCGGTATGTACCGAGAGTTATGCCCTAAAAGAGAGGGATGGAGGGAGAAAATAATATAATAAAATAATATTTGAATAGATATCATACCGGCCCGCGGCTGATCAATAAATTAGCGTTAGGTTCCAGCTTAGAAATGCTTTTAAAGTTGTGATTATTCGTTCGAGCGATCGTGCTGGGTGCCCAAATCCAGGGTAAGCCTCCAAGACTATCGTGCTTTAGGAAGGTTATATTTGAGCCGCTATGAAAATCTCAAACTTGATCACCTCACCCCTCCATCGATTTCACGGTGCTCGAGTAATTTACTGTATTTTCACTATCAGGGCATTATCGGGGAAAGGGAACGGCTCCAAACCCCTGCCAAAATCCTTCGAAGCCACAGAAATATGAACCCCCTTTTGCGTGGTGGCCTGCGGATACGTACTTGTACCAGCCTGCGCACTCAAAAGCCGCGAAATTCGGCACCAGACGAAGTGACACATGACACGAGTACAATATGATGAACCATCCCCGCACCCCCGATAAGCAAGATACCTTAGCCTAACAGAACTGAGCGAAACATCCCGGATGACTCAGACGTTACTAATGGGTGGGCATCACTCGATAATAACCGGCAGCTACCGTATCGTATTACACATGGATCACCATGGCTGAGCCGGTATCAAGAAGCACAAGCACAAGCACAACACCATCCCCGGACCTGCCGGTAGTCTACTGGGCACAGTACGTATGATACTCGGGAACCTTAGTCTGCCGGTAGGCATTCCAAGGGGCCCAAAGGTACCGACCATACTGTGCACTGAGCAGCCCGTTACCATCGGAACTCCACAAGAGCATACCCCACAGCCCCCAAACCGAAACAGCACACAATCCTCGACTCACTCAACCATCCGCCCCAGTAGCGAACCGGTGGCCAGAATCACCGTCAGCAGTGTGATGTACGTACTGCGATGGACACCGCAACTGTGTCATGCCCACAGTCACCCACACACTCACGGGTATGGTGAGTGACTCCCCTTGTCTGCCGCGCGGCATCAGTGAAAGTCTAACTATTACTCTAACAAACGCATACAATAGAGTACTGTACTGGTAGTATTTATACTCTAATCACTGACTGACTACACTTCCGTCTACTGCTCACGATCCACTGTAAAGGCCCAAGCTCAAGCACGCTGCTACCATACCCGTATCAACCCCCAACTCGAGAGAGTCGATGAGTACCGGTACCAAAGCTCAAGCACATCCCCCCCGCCCCCCTCCTCCTTCCTCTCCAACCGTAGCCCGCAGTCCGTAGTGTAACCACCGTGTCCAATACTATAACGTTATAAACTCCTATTGCTCCAGCCTTGTGACGCAACAAATCAAAACCCACCACTCGTCCAGATTCAATCCAGGTTCGAACCGGAATCACCAGGTATAGGAACACTCACTCGAGAGGAATGAGAAGAGAAATAAGAATGGTCGATAAGTTAACCGCCCCATGGAATTATTAACATATGCGCATGCATGCACGCAAGCTTCCTACACTCGAGCGTTATCCACCCACAGTGGACTAACCTAATCAACAGCAATAACAACAACAAAAAGAACTTTTTTTCAAACCAACAAATCCGCCCCTCGCCCCTACCACTCACCGCCCTCTTCCAGGTCTAATGACGATACTAAACTAAGCTAAACTATGCTACCTACATGACCAGACCAGACAAAAAAGACTCGTAATCAGCGTAGATGTCGTGAAAAAGAAAATTTTGAAAGAAAGAAAGGAGGAAAATCGTGGATCTCGTAAAGGTCGTAAATGGCATTGACATCGTTAAGGCCCCACCGTGTATGATGCAAATGAAAAAGGAGTTGAGAGCGAAATTGTGAAAATAAAAGTAAAAATAAGAATAATAAAAAAATCAAAGCTCCAGATGAATAAGGGAATAAAAAGAATCCAAAGGAAAAAGTATTCATCGGTATCAAATCCAATCACCGCCCTTCCCACCACCAACAACTCTGATTGTCCTTTTCAATTCTTCCCTCCGCCTATCCTCTTTGCGCCTTTTGGCATCGCGAACAACATACTTTTCGAAAACACCTTTGAAGCTGGCCTTAGCTCTGCGCTCATCGTCCGAGAGTTCCTCGTCGGAGGATGCGCCTCGGATGGTTGCCGCTCGCCCAGTGGCAACGGTCCTAATAGACGCCGCTTTTCCATGCCTGATGGAGCTACCGGAGCCGATTCGTCCCATCTTGAACCCAGTTAATCCGCTACCGGAAGAGGCGGTGGAGTTGCGGTTGTTTGGTGGAGGACCAGTTATGGCGGTAACCATTGTCTCAGCGATGCTGTCGGTATCTGTTGCTGTCGAGTTCCTGGGTGATGGACTACTGCCGTGGATGCTCATAGTTTCCTCCTCTACCAGGGATGATTCCACATTCGTCTTGAGACGACGACTGATTATCCCGCCTTTAGCGGCTGCGACGGCCTTCTTTAAGTCGACCCCCACGTGGGGAAGATGAAGGCGGTTCATGACAGAGCTGCGCCAGCTCTCTTTGGCATCGTCGTCGACGGAATAGTCTGACCAGCGGGAGCCTGGACGGAAGGATGCTGGGGAAGGAACTACTAATTCTGTTGTGGGGATTGAAGGTGTGCTATTATACCTATCACGGAAGCTTTTTGCAATAGGAGAAGCGGGATCCATCATGTCCACCAACTCATCAAGACCGGTCTTGCTTTGAGTGACAGTTGCTAATTTGTGCTCGTCTTCGTCGAATTGCTGCCAGCCAGGATGAACTGAGTACTCCTCGTAGGCTGGAGAAATCTGATAATCAGAATTGTTGAGCTCCTCGAGGTCCTTCCCAAGAACGTCGGCCATAATATAGTCGTTCGGGATGATGTTGAAAATTTCTGTTTCGTCAACCGGCAACTCAGAGAACATAACCGGGAAGTCTTCGGACATGTCGAACGAGGCCGTTGACATGGATGTTACTATTGGAGCGGAGGGTGAACGTTGAGGGAGCTCTATATCCTGATGACCACCAAAAGCAAAGGGCGATTTCTTCGGAGAACTGGCTGGACTGGTGACATCGACAACGGATTGGCTGTACATTGGTTGTGATAGAATCCTGGCCCTTGCTTTGTCTTCACCTTTCACCTCCACAACCTGTTCAACGACCTCCTCGACTGGCACTTCAACCGGCTCTGCCGGCAGCTCAATCACCACGCCCGCTTCATCTTCATCTTCTTCATCTTCCTCAATGATATTCTCGTGAATCGAAGGTACTGATGTGTTGTCACTACTATTTGAATCCAAGTTCAATAGCGGGACTCCACACGTGCAATTCAGCTCGGATGTGGTATCAGATATCGAGTCGAGAGTACCGGTTTCCTCCATATTCTTACACGAAAGAATAGCCGGAGCAGAAGACTTTCTAACAACCTGCAATGCGAGCCATGGCTTGAGCTCCAACTGCTGTGGGGGCTTCTCAGGCTCATCATCGGAGACGTCCCAATCTCCCAAGATTGGCTCAGCAGGCTTCTTAGGCATTTGTTGGGAAAGATGCCCACGTCTGCGTAGAGGATATTTCATGCCGATTCCCAGAACACTACTAGGTTTAGGAGAAGTCACACGTTCATCAATGACGATTTTATATGGCTCGGGCGCCGTCGAAGGGCGCGAAGGTGTAAGTTGGAAAGGCATAGTTTGAAACTCTGCCATATTATTGTCTGCTGGTGTTACCGCAGGTGTAACCACAGCAAGAACGTTCGCGGGAAAAGCATCGAGACCAGACTGAGTCACCGATAATCACGAATTAGCATTCAACGATCTAATCGAGCCATTCGATAAAAACCAATGGAAGAATGAAAAACGAAACAAAAAAAAATGATAAAAATAAAAAAAAATTCAATGTAAAAGAACTCGATGTACTTACCAGAGGAGTAGTCGGAGTTGTAGGCGCCTGATGAGCATATTTGCTGAGACGGGCTTTATTTGTGTAGTTAATACCAGGGCTCCCACGCATATTTGCACTCGAACCCTTTCTCTTGATTTTCCTTCCATGATACACCTCGTTTGTTGGAGTAATAGGCGGGCTGATCTCGCGTGCGCTGAGAGAACTCGACGAACTCGAAGGCGAATAGCCTCTGAATATACCAGCGGCATCGTTTGGTGTTTCAGGTGTGCTGGGATCGTCCAAATCGTCTACTTCGTCGTCCTCCGGGTGATAGACGGTGTCGGGGAGAGTGGAAAATATGGATAGACGTGGCTCCGGGAGGGGCTTTTTGAATTCGAGAGGGGAAGGGCGCTTGTACTTCGCACGCAGTGACGAAGCCATTGTAAGAAGATTCGACTTTGACAGAATCTGCCCGTCGCAATAAACTAGGTGGTTCCCCTTCGATTTTTATGTGCTCCCAGGGAGGAGTTGGTAAGATGCAGTTCGAGATGAGAACAAGAGACTTTCTTGAAGTTGCAGAATGAAATACTCAACGGGGAAAGCGGGATATCAAAGAAAGGAACTCGTGGGAGGAAAGAGGGCGAAGAGACCAAGGGAATTAACGAACGAATGGAGAGAAGAGGAGAAGCGAGAGGGGTGACGGGCAGAAATAATTAAAAAGCATGATGACAGCAGGTCGGCCTTTGAAGGAGGGGGGGTGAAAGTACAGATTCATTGAACAAAGGGAGAGAAGGAACAATCACGGCCAACTGTATGGGTGAAACCTGAGCCTATAAGGCGTCAGCCGCACATGGAACAAGAGGACAGAGAGTGTGATCTCTCAATTGTAGTTGGACCGACCGAGCCCAAATGGATCATCGGTGGGTAATGTGGGTGGGGAAGGGATGGGTGTGGACAGAGCCTGTGCTATTGTGTACGTGGGCGAGCGTTATTGTTCTGGAGTGGGTAGTTAGCGGACGGCCATTCAATTGGGCGCAGGATGGATTGGCGAGGGACAATAAGACAAAAAGGATTTTTCGGGTCAGAGGAGGTGGACATCAATGGGGGGGGAGAGTTTTTTTTTCTTGCCTTCCTGCTTCAATAGCAGACGAATCGGGGATGGGCTACTATGGGGGAGGTTGACCTGCCTTTTTTTTTTGCCACTTGCCCATTGAGACTTGGGGGTGGGGAATGAGTGTTAGTGGGCAGGGGAAAGAATGAGAGAAGAAAAGAGACGAGAGGGTATGGAAAGTAGGGATAGGGACGGTACTTGGGAGTGTGTAAATCACATCACGTATTCATTGAGAAGGTCAAAGGCAAAAAAAGTGCGCAGATGGATGCGTGAGAGAAGTACAAGTACATCCAGATACCGGTATCACAGTTCATTCACTCACCCACTCACTCCCTCTCGAATGAGGGGGGAGAAATGAGAGAGTGGGGAGTTTCTGTTAGAATAAGAGTGGAGAAAAACGAGAGGAGGGGCTTTTTTTTTTTTCATGCGGAAATCATATTATTATTTCTATTATTATTATTATTACAGTATCATTATTATTATTTTAATATCAAAGAGGGGGCCATAAATCTGCAATTCTTGGCAAATATAGATAGCCTCCGATCGTTTTTCCGATTCCTTTCAGAAGGGAGGCAGAACTCTCCCACCGTCTCTTGATGTAGGCTGCACGAGTACAGTACCGGTACTATGCGAGCAAGTTATAATAGGCCTCATGAGTTGCCGGGCCTTCTGTCTCTCAGGGTCAAGCATTTGTGAGTGGCCCAGCGAGATGTGAGCCCTCTGGACCTGAACACTAGCCTACTGTACCTCCCGCCCTCGCTTCTCTCGCTTCCCGAAGCATAAAATGTATGAGCAACGTACAGCAAAGAGCACGATACCACACAACGCAAACCTTACCTCCCCCACAACCCACGACTAAAGCCAGACATGCCTTCAACACCCCCTCTCTCGCGGGCGAAGGTGAAGAAAGAAAATAAAAATAAAAAAATAAAGTGCAAACATAAGGATTATCATGGGGGGAAAAACAAAATACAAAACCTCAGTTCTCTACTGTTATTCTGAATGTTGCTCTTGATGCAATATTTCACTGCACGCCCTGCAGAAAGTTGCACACTCCTCGTCCTCCCCTTCCCTCTCCCACGCTCCACCTCCCACTCCCTTTCTCAGGGGGATACACCGTCGCAGTAAACATTGTTACAGAGAGCAGTTACAACCTGCCTGCCTGTTGCACTCTAACACTTATTTGCTACACTTTTTTTCTGCCTGTACAAATGTTTTTGGCCGTCACATCGAATGGCTTCAATTCTCTGCACCCATTATGCTTGACCCTCGAATCACCCGTTATCCGTCGCTCGCACATGCCTTTGGATAACGATGCTTTCTTCACCACCCCTCCCCCCCCAAAAAAAAAAAAAAACCAACACCCACACGTAGATTATTCTAGGAAATATAATCAAGCAATTGAACCAATCCTCCTCCCTCTCTCCAAACCCACCCCACTCATCCATCCCCTTCCTATCACCCTTCCTATCACTCGGTTTTTTTTTTTGGTTGTCCTTCCCACTTTTGAGCTTCTCTTTGTATGCCACGCTCGTATCGCCTGCCAGAACTTGTCCGTGATCTAGGTTGCATACAAGTAGACCATTTTGTGGTCTCGGTGGATGACCTAGGGGTAGTCTACGCTCTACATTGCCCAGCTGGTTCCCTTAGCTCTAGCTCCACTGTCAGTACGCATGGAGCCCACCGCCCATGGAATCTGTTATTCATTTGAATGAACAAATTTCCCATCGAATCCCAACGCACCATACTCGAGCACGGTACAGTAGCTGCCAGTTGCTAAGTCTCAGTGCTGTACCGGTACCGGTACTCGAGCAGCGTACTTCAGCTATTCGGGTAACATGCTTGCATACCGGCACAGCTATCCGCACCACTTTGACTGTATCTTCCCGTAGTGCGTTACCTGATCAATTCCCTTAACTTACCGGGTCAATGGTCGATGGTCTTCTGAGAGAGATACAACAGGCTGGAAATACCGCAAGCTGATCACACGAAATCTTGATCCGGGCATCTGTGCATTATCAATATCAAGAAGGTGGAAGGAAGCAAAATGAGGAAAAGAGAGAAGAAAAAAGACGCAGCAGTTTTTCAGGACTTCTTTCTTCGGGAGTCACGATTCCTCTCACGTCACCCTGCTTCTCCCGCAGCAGCTGAGCTTCACCATTCGTCGAGCTCTCTTTCCATCCCCCAGTAATAACGTGGGTTAATATTAGCTTTCTAAGTGTCAGGAGCTCCCACAATAGCTACAAGCTAAGCCTTTGGAGGGAAAGAAAGGGGAAAAATGTCCCTCCTTGGTCATCATGACCATTTTGTATATGGTAATTGAGGCTCTGTAAAATAATGATACCGGTAACTGTATAAAGAAAGAGATATCAGTGTGGGTATTCACTTTACTATTCCCCGCCGAGCTCCGCCCCTCCTGTAGTTTTAGAAATTCCAAAGCTGCGACAGATGCTGGCATTGGCCGTAGTGGCAAGTATCAGCCCCTGAATGGATTTCGCTTCCCACGGAGCTACAATTCCCTCTCTCCCCTTCTCTCTTTTGTGACCAATTCTACAGACACTCTTGTGACTACTGTATGATACATAATTTACCGTTAAAGATTCAAACCATCGGACCAACGAGCTTTGTTTTCCTCCCCACATTTTCCCAACGCGCCTCAGCCTACGTACGCCACACCACCGCGTCGCTGTTTTCGGAGGTAACCGCCACCGCATCGGCCCGATAGAGAAAGCAACCGCTGCGAAAACCTTCCCCCAACCAAGGAACAACCTGCATTCCCCGGAAAACTACGCACAGCAACGAATATGGGGACGGAGGTCGAGTACGATGAGTTTGGGTTACCGGTTGTGAGGCTAAAGGTTTCAACCCCACCTCCGCCCTCATCTCCATCTGCTCTGCTAGTGGAAGGGAAGGGGAAGGGGGAGGAGAAGGTCGGCGAGCCACGGACCGAGGAGGTCGAGCCAACTGGATCGGAACAGGAGAAATCCACAGTTTCAACAGACGCAGACTCAACCATATCACCGGCTACAAACACACTAGCGTCACAGAATGTAGCTACGGATGTAGCCCCTCCAATGGCGCCAAAAGAAAGTGCGAATAAAACAGGGCTGGCAAACGAGGCGGCGGCAGCAGTGGTGGTCAAGGATCAAGTTGTAAGACCTTCTGCTGATATCCCTCAAGCAGATAGGGAGTGGAATGAGAAGAAAATGTTTTCGGAAGACCCCGCCGACCCCTCGAGCACCGTTGGGACTGGGGGTCCGGTATCAGAATGGTCACACCAGCAAATTGTGCGAAGGGAGGAAGAGAAGGACAAAGACAGGGGGGGGGCAGAAGAGGAAGACGATGGTTGGCAGGAAATGCCCGCTATCGCCTCACACGACCTCTACGATGACGAAGGACGGTTAATAGCCAAAGAGGCTCAGGATTCTGAGGATGAGGGGGAGAAGAGTGCGTCGAAGGGGTACACCAGGGTCTACGATGACGAAGATGCTCAGTCCGCTACTTCTATGGATGAGAATACGAGTTACTTGTTCAAAGAGACAGAGGATGACGAAGCTTCAAGGAACCCGTTAAGTCAGATGCAGGCTACAAAGGAATTGCTCACGGAGGGACAGAGAATCGCCTATGTCGGCGTGTGCAAGTTGGCCATGGAGCGGATGGTCACCGATCAGGGGAAGTTGAAAGGAAAAGGACGAAGCGTGAAGAAAGAGCTGCAGCTTTCAGCGGAAAGCCTGAAGATGTGGAGCCAAAAGATGATGGTTAGGTTGTACATGCATATGGATATCTCGTCTGCTGGTCCGATCACCTTTGTTCCCTTTTTATGTTTTTCGGTGATGTTCTAGTCCCTGGCCGCTGACTGTGTGCAGAACAAGTTATGATTGAACAGTTGGCGGAGCACGGCGTCATACCTGCAGACCTCACGTCTGCTCTTGCAAAGAATTCTCGAGTCGAGAATCCCATTGCTTCCTCCGCCTCATCCTTCGCTTCGCCGAGATCTTCTGTGGCGCCTCCTGGCTACTCCTCTCCCATATCTAGTCCTCCACCGTACGAAGAGGCCGACGATGGTGATGACGACACCCAGCCAGGCGTCAAGAACCCAACTGAGATATCTAACTCTAAAACCCTAGATATTGACATTCGGTGGACGGTCCTTTGTGACCTTTTCCTTGTCCTTATAGCCGATTCTGTATATGATGCCCGTTCCCGCGTTTTACTAGAAAAGGTTGGGGAGATGTTAGGAGTCCCCTGGTTGGATATATATAAATTTGAGAAGCGAGTGACAGATGCCTTAGAAATCCAAGAGTCAGCTCAACAGAATTGGAGCGAGGAAGAGCACATGGAGAATCGTAGGAAGGCAGCAAGAAACAAGAGGTTCATGATGATGGGCCTGGCAACTATCGGCGGTGGTCTGGTCATTGGATTGAGCGGTGGGCTTTTAGCCCCCGTAATCGGTGCCGGCTTGGCAGCTGGGTTCACGACGATAGGTGTCGGTGGTACTGGGGCGTTCCTAGCAGGAGCTGGAGGGACGGCTCTTATTGCAAGCAGTGCAGTTGCTAGCGGTAGCGTGATTGGTGCAAAGGCGAGTTACAATCGAACTAAAAGCGTTGGTATCTTTGAGTACAGGCCACTCCATAATGCGAAGAGAGTTAACTTGATTATCACGGTCTCAGGGTGAGTCTTTGTTAACGAGAACAACATGATGGTTCAAGAAGACTGATAGAAGGGATAGATGGATGAACGGCTCCGAAGACGACGTGAGACTGCCATATTCAACCGTTGACCCTGTCATGGGTGATATTTTCTCGATTCTTTGGGAACCGGAGATGTTGCGATCTATGGGTCAGACAATCAATATCCTTGCAACTGAGGTTTGTTCCCCGGGTTTCACAATCTAGAACTATATCTGATATCCCGTAGGTCCTGACCCAGTCACTGCAACAAGTTCTGGGGAGCACCATCTTGGTCGCCCTCATGGCTTCTTTGCAATTGCCCGTCGTTCTTACCAAACTCTCCTACCTACTCGACAATCCCTGGAGCGTGTCACTTGACAGAGCCAACGCTGCGGGGTTAATTCTCGCTGATTCGTTGATTCACCGAAATCTCGGTGTGCGTCCTGTAACTCTTGTAGGTTACTCTCTTGGTGCACGGGTGATCTATTCCTGTTTGAGAGAACTACAAAGGCACCACGCCTACGGTCTGGTGCAAAATGTTTACTTGTTTGGATCACCAGTGGTAGTGAAGCAAGATGAGTACGCAAAGGCGCTGTCTGTAGTTTCAGGGAGGTTTGTCAACGGGTTCGCCAGAAATGATTGGATTTTGGGATATCTTTTCCGCGCGACAAGCGGCGGTATTGGCCGTGTAGCTGGGTTGGCGCCCGTTGATAATATTGTTGGGGTAGAGAACGTAGATGTTACGGAGTTGGTGAACGGGCACATGGCATATAGGCAGGCAATTCCGAAACTCTTGAGACACGTGGGGTGGATTGTTGTGTCAGACGAGTTTACAGAAATACAAGATCCGGCAGGTCTACCTATCGTTCCGACAGGCACAATTTACTAATTTGTGTGAAACTTTAGGATCCCGATAGGCACCGCGAAAGGCAACGAGAGCTAATTGAGGAACTTGAGGGGGCCCGGAAAGAGCTTGAGAAACAACAAAAGAAGCCCCGCTTTTCTTTCTTTGGCAGGGGCAAGGATGCCGCCAAAAAGAAAGACTGGGAGACATACGATGAAGTCAAGCCTGCCAACGATCCTGGAATGGAAAAAGACCGAGTTGATCCAAATGACCCAAATACCGGCATCAAAGATGACAATGTAATCTTCGATGTCGACGCCATCAGAGCAGAGCTCGCAAAGGTAGGCCAAGACGAAATTCAACCCAGAGAACTAAACTCCACACTTCCACCCCTCAAAGCCGACACATCACTTCTGAATTCACCAATGCAAGCCAACCTCCGTCATACCAAAAGCTTTGACCACCGCTCCTCATCATTATATGGCATGTCCTCAATCTCTGAGAACAATGCCAGCCTCCCATCTCTTCAGAACGGCCACCACCAGCCAACACCACTCGGCGATAAAAACAACCGCACCTACAACTCGGACTCCGAAGATGAATTCGGGAACCCACGTACCGGTGAGATTCAGATGACTTTTGATGCTCCATCAGCATCACCTCGAAACATCGCCTTATTTCATAGGCCCGAGATTAGAACCAGTGTTACCATGCCCACCACCACTAATGAAAGGAATGTGTGGGCGGATGACGATGACGATTTCGGTGAGGAGAAGGAGATGACTATGACTTTTGCTTAGAGGTTAGAGGTGGGAAGAGAAGGGGGATTGTTTTGTATTTCATTCATTCTTTCTCACCTTCTCTAATGTTGATATGGTTTGTATTGTAGCGTGCATGCATTTATACCGGTGCGATTGTGCTTCCTTAATACCGTGGTGGAAATAGAGGAAGGAATGGAATGGGGGGGGTGCTGCTCGGGGTAAGGGGACCGAAGGGTGAGATTGTCGTGGAAGCATACCAATTGTCTCAAAGGCGTTTAATTGGAGAATTATTGTCGTGCTTATCTGTCAGGGGGATATGGGTGTAGAGATATACACTTGATAGTTGGAGCAGACAAACGTTGTGGGTGGGGTCAAGTGATTTTGTCATAAATAATTACTCAGCGGTGTTGAGCGGGAGGTGCAGATATGAAGTCCAGGCATGCAGTGCAGTGGGGTGAGCTGTTTCTGATCCATACGTATGATAGGTGGTCGGTCAGTTCACAGCACTTAACTTAGGCCTCGGTGCCGCGATACATGGACTTCCTATCCCGCGACTTGGGATTAACCCCCACCTCGCAATATCAGTAATTTATGCTCTAAGTTAGATGGCGGGTAAATGCACTGCACGTTGGTCGTTGGGGGAGGGGGTGTTGAAGATCACGGGTGGTGCATCGTTTTTACGTTGGGGAGAATTGGCATATCATGGAATTTTGTACACGGTAAGCTATAAGTCAACTGTTTATCGGTAAATAACTGTTTGCTTTTGACTATCTGTGATGGAGTGGCCTTTATGTACCCCTGCGGTTGGTTGTCGTGGCGCCGGGGGGTGGATCGTTATTTCATGATGCTGTCGTGCTACGGATAGTATGATGTGGTATCGAAAGGTCACGCACGTCCTGGGCTTGGGAGCTTGTGGGGGCGTACCTGCATGTTCTGGGGTGTTTTGTGCAGACTCAACAATTATTGTCGAAGCTTTCTCAAAAAAAAGCTGCTATTGCATAAGTTACTTAGACCTAGGCAGAAGGGCTAAATTTTAATGGTGGTATGCGATAGCAGTTCCTTTTTTTTTTTTTTTTTTTTTTTTTTCAAAAAAAAAAAAAAAAACTTCGACAATGCGAGTGAAAGGATGTTGATGCTACAGAACATTTGCTGTCGGGTATGATATATAAACCCGGGAAGCGAAATCATGACAACGTCAATCCGTCATGGTTCCCGCTGCCTCGCCTCCCTCCTTAACCCGGTACTGCACCCTACCGGTATCTATCATGGCAAGAATAGATGGCATAGGGTTAGGGTTAGCTGTGATGGCCAGCAATAAATGTTTTATTGGCATCATAATATTATCATAGGCAGCGGATGGCATATGTACCGTTATCGGCTTCATTGAGGCCATGTTTCTGGAGAGAGTCCTTGCACTTCTATTATCACTGAATGCAGGTTTAAAAAAAAAAGGGGGGAGGAGGAAGAAGTGTGCGGGGGGGACCAGCAACGGTAATGCAGGTACAGTACTGTACAGTACTGTACACAACAGCCTGCCCTACGAGTTTTTGGAATGTGGTGGCCTCTCGTTTGGTATGATGCTGTCTGTCGAGAAGTCTGGATTCGATGCCGGTACTGTACTCGAGTACAAAGTTACCGGGAGTGGTCTGCTGTTGAGTTGTTGAGCCGCGAAAAGGTCTGTGCGTTTTTTGTGGTAAAAAATAAAAAATAAAAAAAGGAAAACATCAAGCCAAAGCCCTCCCCGTCAATATGATACAAACGGGTTTTTTTCTTCTTCTTCTTCACTAGTGGAACATATGACATGATAACTATTGTTTGACGATACCAGTAGAAGAGAATCTTCATTCTGAATGTCTAAGGAAGGTTTTTTTTTTGTTTTGTTTAGTTTTGTTTGAACCCTTCCTACCAGTTTGTTTCACCCGTGTTTACGAGTACTGTGCAGGGGCAAGGGGAAGGAACCATGACGCTGGGGCCCCTCTGGCGGACGAGGAAAGGAGCAAAAAAGACGGCAGGGTAATACTGTAAACTTGCTTTCTACTTCTGATCTTGACCTTTTCCCACGAGGATACCCCCCCGTCACACCATTCCCTCTTACAGGGCATATCACTCTCTCGTTGCTACTGCCCTGCATAAAGCAGCGCAAAAGCTTGATCGTGCATGGGAGGCAAATACTGGTACACACTCTTGGGGGCCATTTCGTGCCCTTTTTTCCTTGTTTATGGGAGCGAGCGAGCCTCTGGGGTATTATTAGTAAGTGTCCGAGTAGAAAATATTTACGGGCGGAAGGAGTGAGTGTTCGGAGGTCGGAAGGGAAGCAGGGTAGAGAGCTTCACGAACATTCTACTCCGGACAGGTCAATTCGACCGCACTTTTCCTCTTTACTTTCCTCCAGCTCTTTCTGGTCGTCTAGTCTCACAAGTACACAAAGCCTTATCCCCTCCCCCCTTCCACTGAGACTTTCGTTCGTTCTAGGATTCTCTACTCGTACATCCACTCCAGCATCCCAAGTCCAAATTCAACTGGATAGATAACCAGGTGTTGCATCCATCCATCTCGTCATCAACCAATCAGATCTATCCACCTCCTGATTCTTCGTCCGAAATAAGGAAATAAGGAATTAAAAATAAAATAAAAAATTAGGCATAGGGAAAGAGAGAGAGCTAGTTTCCAAAGTCAGGATTAGGCCCACTCTACCAACCCCTGACAATCGGTATAAACGAAAGGAGGATGACTACTCCATCGGCTCCCTCGAAACGCCTTGGTCTGGCTCTGGCTCGTCCCCGCCCATCTCTCGCAAACACTCCAGCTTTCTCAAACAATAACTTCAACAGCAATAGAGAAGCGACAATTCCAAATAACCTACCCTCCCTTGAAAAATCTCCCCTCCTCTCACCAAGTACGATGCTGGCCCGAAAAGCCTCCCTCAACCAGCTCACCCAGAACTCGCTGGCATCTATTCCTGATGGTACGGTAGGCTATGGATTGGGGAGCCCTACAAGATCCACCCGGGATGACTATCGGGGTCGATCAACCCCCATCGGAGCTGACGTCGAGGTCGGTGACGCCGTCAATACTCCTGGTGGAATGCATGGAACTGTCAAATTTATCGGAAATGTTAAAGGAAAGGCTGGAATATTTGTCGGAGTGGAGCTGGATCCGGACATATCTGGAAGGGGCAAGAATGATGGCGCAGTCGACGGGTGGGTGCTTCACTTCATTTTCACCTCATTTGTTTGTTTTTGTATTCGCTATGGGTAGCGAGGCTCTCGATTAGAAACTTGTTTTTTTTTTTTTGAGTACAGTACCGTGGGAGGCATACACTCTGGCCATCCTTTGTCCAGTGATCGTTTCCGCTGGCTTGTTTCAGTTGTCGAAGAATCGTCGTTTCCCCAGCAGTCCGTTTCTAAGCTCTGTTTTTTTTTTTTCTTTTTTTCTTTTCACTGCTATGAAGTGGTCAAAGTCGTCCATGGGATCAACTAACTCAATATATGAGAATGATAGAGTTCGCTACTTTACCACTGCTCAGCCAAACTCCGGTATCTTCGTCCCGCTAGCACGAACTACGAAACGGCATTCAGCCTCATCCTCAAATCCCCCACCGACACCCACACTTCTGAGCCTACCTTCGCCTGTAGGACCTTCACAGCTGACACCTCCGACACCTTCGAGAAATCGCTCGGAGTCTCCTGCACATCGCTTCGCAAATGGAATTGGGAAAGCTCCAAGTACCCGGCCGTCATTGCCAAGACCTGAGAGTCCTATGCGAAGAGGGACTCCCGGCCCTGGCTCAAGACCTGGCCTACATCCACCAGTAACACCTAGAAATGTTTCTTCAGCTGCCGGAGGCAGATTTGGCGCTCCTAGTCCTACACCGGGGAAATTGAGTTATGGTGGCCGAGCAAGAGCCAGCAGTATTGCTTCAACGGTGGATGGAAGGCCGGGTACATCGGGGGGCGGTGCTCCACCGCTAAGGCTTGCACAAACACCCAATGCGCGTGCTCCATATTCGTTGGGGTCGAAACAGCCCAAGAGCAATATGGGATTGAGTCAGGTGATGAGGGCAGGGAGTTCAATGGGTATGAGAAGCATCAGTTCCCTCGATCGGCATATGGAGGAGCACCATGAGACATCGCCAATAGACTCGGGAATTGCCATGAGCAGGGCGGATGATTTAGATAATTCCGGGGCTACCTCGGCGCTGGAATCTAAGCTAGCGGAGAAGGATGAACAGCTAAAGGAGCAAGCGGCAGCATTGCTGGAGATGGAAGCATCATTAACAGAGTTGCAATCTCTCGTTCAGAATGCCTCCTCTCCGCAGATGTCACATTTTACTTCTCCGACTATCTCCATCAGGTCGGGTGCTTTTGAGGATGCGGATGCTACTCAGTTGAGGGCTTTGCTTCGGGAAAAGAATGAAAAGATTCAGCTTCTTACAGCGGAGTTTGATGCACATAGAGCGGACTTCAGATCGACTATCGATACTCTGGAGCTCGCCAGCACGGAAACAGAGAGGGTATATGAAAAACGAGTTGATGACCTTACGGCAGAGATTCGGGAGCTACAGGAGAGAAATGATGATGTAGAGAGTGTGGCACGTCAGTTGAAGCAATTAGAAGAGTTGGTCGCGGAGTTAGAAGAGGGGCTAGAGGACGCCAGGAGAGGAGAGGCGGAGGCTCGAGGGGAGGTGGAATTCTTGAGAGGGGAGGTAGAGAGGAGCAGAGAAGAGCTCCGAAGAGAGAAGGAAAAGAATGCTGCTGCCGTGGCAAACGCTGCCGTTGGGAAGATGATGCGCTCCAATAACGATGAGGTTGAGAAGAGGGACGATGAGATTAGGGGTTTGAAGGCCATTATTCACTCTCTGAGCCGGGATACGATATCCGCTGACGATGGTACGAACGATGGTCACTCACACCTTGACGGAGTCGGTGTGGCGGGGAAGTTGGGGGACAATGGAGAGGTAGAGGAGCTGGCTAGGGAGCGCATGTCGCGAGAGAAGTTGGAGAAGGAGGTTGGAGAGTTGGAGTCATTGATCGAAAGACGTGCTGCTAGGGAGGAGGAACTTGAGAAAGAGATTGAACTTCTCAAGAAGCGCAAGGAAACCCGCAGCAGCACCACTAATAACTCTGAGAAAACTGTCACAGGTTGGGCTGGTCGGGAGCGGAGAGATAGTGGTAGAGACTCCCGAGCAACCATTGGAAGCTGGAGAAGCAAGCACCAGCCGACATCCTCTGCAGCATCCTCTTTGTTGCAACAGCCTGCTCCTGCACCTGAGTCGTCCTTGCTCACCGATGATTTCAGTATGACTGGCAGCGGCGGCCTCACTCCCATCACTGCTGAGGATTCTGAATCTGCCGACGGCAGCGTTCTTTGGTGCGAGATCTGTGAGACAGCAGGTCACGACATCCTCACCTGTACCAACATGTTCGGCTCCGCAGCCGGGGGCCCGGCATCTGCTGGGCCAGAGGGCGAGAAAACCGCTGCTGCCGCTGCTGCGGAGGAAGCCGAAGGGGATGAGAGGTCCCTGCATGTAACATCGCCGATCATGGAACGGGGTGCCAGCTCTAGCTCTGCATTTCCCGAGTCCTCGACAGATGACGATGCAGACTTTAAGAGCGCTATTTCGGAAAAGAAGAAGAGCGTTCATCTTCCACCCCCACCGCCAATGGTGGACGGCAGCTTTGGGCCTATAGCTGGAAGGGAAACCGGTGTTATTAATATGAACAAGTGGTGTGCTTTGTGCGAGAGAGACGGTCATGAAAGCGTTGATTGCCCTCTCGAGACTGATTTCTAAGTTTACAATGGGACTACTACTGCCTTCTATGAATGCTTGTTGCTGTCTTTTAGCCATTCATGCGTTGTCCCTTTTCGTTGAGAATATCATTGGGAGTTTGTTTCCATTTCTTCCTTCTCGTCTTTTCTCTCTCTTCTAACATTACCCTTCTTCAAACCAACGTACCGGTTCATCATCATACCTTAAGGATTCGTAGGAAGTGGTCGTATGATTTATTACCGATACCCGAGTTCAACATTTCTTGTAACCTTTTTTCATCTTCTCTCTCTCTCTTTTTTTTACTCTTTCCTCATACTACTTTACCTTTTGCTCTTAGGGGCCCAATATGCAGTGTTTAATTTGATGAATCTAGGGGTAGCATGTGGAAAATACTTTAAAAGAGCATTTATAAGTATCAATTACAAACGTTTGTGAAGTAGGTTTTCCTTTTTTTCGGCAGCATATCACATAGCGGTTCTGAACTTTTCTTTTTCTTTTTCTTTTTTTCTTACAGGGGAAGGGGAAACGGATTAGTGAAGAGGAAGGTGAAGAAGTGGAAAAATATATCCTACTTTCCTGGATGAAGGATATAAGGCTTTTTCTCTATTTCTCTCCCCTTCGGGGGATGTAGTGGCATTTCTATGATAGAGTGGAATATATTATTGTATCGGACTATGGGAAAATAGAGAGGGTTTCGTCAGATTCTGATATTTTATGCATGGTAGTCCGCAGCTTAAGTTGGGTTACAATCAAGAAAGAGGCGCACTGAATGAGATTCGCTGGCCTGATCTACTGGGATCTCCCGAGATGCCCGGCAGCGGCAACAACGTGGGCAACCCTGCACTTTTTCTGCCACAGGAATGATGAATGTGATTTTCACCCCGCTCCCAACTCTACTCTTACTTCACCCCATCGTCTTCTACTAAGCAGCCACCAACACCACCACCGCCTCCACAAAATACATACCACGGTGAAGATGGCAGAAACTTTCGAGCCATTGAGCAACGACCTTATTCTTCGGGCCGCTAGAGGTAGGTCCTTCCGATTCTTCTATCATACAAAGTCCCTTGGAGAATAGCCAACTTTAAACAGGAGAACCCGTCGAACGACCCCCAATGTGGGTAATGCGTCAAGGTCCTCCTCCCTCCCCCCTCCTCTCGAACCCAAATTAACACACTCTAGCCGGTCGCTACCTCCCAGAATACAACCAGGTGAAAGGGGGCCGTGACTTCTTCTCGGTATGCCGCGACCCAGAGCTTGCGAGTACAATAACCCTACAACCAATCCTCCGCTATGCAAACCTGATCGACGCGGCCATAATCTTCTCGGACATCCTCGTGATCCCACAAGCGATGGGTATGACAGTAGAAATGCTCGAGGCGAAGGGGCCACACTTCCCGAATCCATTGCGCAAGCCAGAAGACCTCTCGCAGCTCAAGCCGGAAGTCGATGTTCGTGCGGAGCTCGCCTACGTCTTCGACGCCATCCGCCTGACACGGCGAAAACTCGCGGGGCGGGTTCCACTGATTGGCTTTGTCGGCGCACCCTGGACCCTGATGAGTTACATGGTGGAGGGCGGGGGTAGCAAGACATTCATGTTTGTCAAGACCTGGATCTTCAAACACCCCTCCGCTACGCATTCCCTGCTGGCCAGGATCACCGACGTCTGTGTCGACTTCTTGGCGTACCAGGTCCTGGCTGGCGCACAGATGTTGCAAGTCTTTGACTCCTGGGCCGGGGAGTTATCGCCGCATGACTTCCGCACCTTCTCACTCCCGTACATACGCCAGATATCCGTGCGGGTGCCCGCGCGAGTCAGGGAACTTGGAGGCGAGCCCGTCCCCATGACTATCTTCGCCAAGGGCGCTTGGTACGCTCTCGACGAACTGTGCGAGTCCGGGTACCAGGTCGTCGGCCTCGACTGGACGCACGATCCTGAAAGTGCCGTTGCCATTGCGAACGGCCGTGTGACGCTGCAAGGGAATATGGATCCCAACGTTTTATATGGTGGCCGTGAGGCAATCACCCGGACTGTCGAGAGGATTGCCAAGGGGTTTGGTGGGGGGAGGAGAGGTTGGATCGTCAATCTTGGTCACGGTATCACGCCGCTCGTCGACCCGGAGGATTTGAGGTGGTTTTTCGAGGAGACAAGAAGGGTTACCGGAGCCAGCGAGTAACCTCTTTCGCGGATCGCCGGGGATAATTGAAACATAAATTTACGAGGGGGGGGGCGGTGGAGGTGGGGCTTCAAAAGTTTCTTTTCTCCTCTTTTCTTTTTTTATTCCACTCGAGTATTCTACTCTCGATACTGGCACAATAACACTTTCTGTGCGCTAAGGTAAAAGTGAAGCTCCTGCTCGTAGAGCCTTAAATGGTACAACGGCTCTTCCATAATTTACATTGCTTGTGGGGTGTGTGCTCGGAATACTTCTCGTGACCTCTAAGCACTGAGTGGTGACACTGGTTTCTGGGGATATTTGATTTACGAGCGGCACTTGTAGCTGTCGGTATATAATTCTTCTATCGTTAGGCTGCCAGAGCCTGGAGGAGAGCGATTGCCGTTTTGCCACTGGCGGCTATAAGCTCGGGGACAGAGCTTTTGATCTTGGCGAGTACGGGCGCTCGAGTATTGTCGAATCACATTGATCATAGCCGATGCCAGAAAAAACTCACCAATCATACATGTAATACCGGCATCTTCTCAGACCCACTCCACGCCAGGTGCGGAAAAAGAAAAAATAAGGAAAAGAAAAATAACACTCCACTTTTTCTTGAACCACAGTAATACGCTCCTGGACCAACTGGTATCCTACATTTTTCGTGCCCCACCAGACTCCACTTCCACCTCCAGCTCCACCATTCATCCCCTCCGCCTTCAAACAGCACAATACCGTATGGTTTGGTTAGTACACAACCACGCCACGTACGTTGCAACCGCGACAGGCGGCCCCACCCACCCACACCCGATTTCCTAAACCCCCCCCCCACCTATGCACATGTCAAGACCCACACAACGAGTGAGATCCTATGAACGCTCTCTACTCCGCGGACCCACCTACCCACTACGCTTGACTATCCCCAAGAAATACCACCACCACCGTTCCTCTTCCTCACTCGATCACTACTGCCACTCCGACCCACGCAGCCCCCACACCTGCCGACTAACCCCGCGTCCGCTCCCGCGTTTTTCAACAGTCCGACAACGCCCATACGTCCAGAGCGCGAAGCCCAATGCAGTGGCGTACTCCCTGTATTATCCCTTGGATTTACGGCTATGCCAGGGGAGCGCCTGAGCAATAAGTCGACCAATTCCGGTCTCGTGTATGTAGCGGCGTAGTGCAATGGTGTTTCTCCGGCCCGGGTGCGGATACTTGGATCTGCGCCTGCGGAGAGGAGGAGATGCGGGATCTCGGGCGTTGTGTAGTGGATCGCAGAGAGGTGGAGGGGTGTGCGGCCGTTATGGTCTTGCATGTTGATCACCCCGTTTCCATCGTCGCAGACGGCTGCGGCACTGGTAGTGGTCTTGGGGGTGTGGTTTAGGAAAAGTTTGATTGTGGGAATATTATTCCAGGAGACGGATAACGCTAACGGAGTGCTTCCGGAAAAGTCTTGGAGGGTAGGATTGGCGTTGTGGGATAATAGGAATTGGCACATCCTCGAAGAGCGAAGAGTAGCGGCGATGTGCAGTGTTGTTTCGCCGAATGTGCTGCGGGAGTTGAGGGTTAGCGGGGTGTTTTCTAAGAGGGTTTCAATGGCAGAATAATTTTCTGAGTGCACGGCTTGGTGCAATGAGGTCCAGCCATGGAGGGAGTCCTTCAGGTTCGCGTTAGCACCCTTTGAGAGAAGGGTTTTAAGGAGGGTTGTGTTCCCACTTATGATGGCGTGGTGAGGGGTCGTTGCGCAGGTGTAAGTGAGGTTGTGGTTTATTATTAGGTTGGGGCCTTTTTGCAGAACGTAGTTCATCACACTATCATGGCCTTGTAGTCAGTGATCTGAATTTGAGCACACTGAGATGTCCTGCGGTGGGAGATATAAACACCTATCTAAAGGTCCGTAGAGAGGACTTCCATCCTCCTCCCGAATGCTAAAACCCCGTCCATTCTTCAAAAGATACCGCACCGCCTTCTCATCTCTATAGGCTGCCGCCAGAGATAGCGCCAAAACGGCATGCCTCTCACTGCAAGAATGCCGCAGTAGCGATTCCCGAGCCAAGTTGAAGAATAGCCAGTTCGTCCTAGCGAACGCACTCAAAGACGCAGCCGGCAAGTCCCGTGTAATTAATAGGAGTACTTCATTCGGACACTGTAAAAGTGACATCGCTAAAGAATAATAATTTGTAAAACGAAACACTAATAAAATTTATCGTGAATCGAACCTCCGTCGTGCTCTAGCGGGTATGATAAGAAGAAAACACCTGGTTGAGAGGGGTGCAAGGGCAGGCGGCAGATTTTATATGCCTACTACCAAAATCAGTCATCACAGCATCCTACAGACCCACTCTCCTCAATCAGCACGCAACCAAAAACAATGCACGGCCAGTCCAACCCACCGGTACCGTACTCGAGTAGAAGGGAAGGAAGAAGAAAAATGACGTTCATACCAGTCCGACGGGTCCTACTAAATTTTGAGCCAACTTCTGCGTAAGGCTAGCGCACCCCACCCGACTGCAGGAACGCCAAACAGATTCGATGGGAGGAAAAAAGAAAAAAAGTTAATTCTGTCTCTCTTGCCCCACTCCACCTGTCCGCACCTAATAGTTCCTTACTTGATCTCCCCCCGCTCTCGCGGTGTGTGTGTCTCACCTACCGGAAGGAGTATACCAAATTCAGTTTTTTCGGCAGGTGAGCTTACGTCTGCTTCCTGGTCGAGTTCGAGTGATCGTGCGTGATTGGCAGTGGAGAGAGGTTTTTCGAGGTTATGCTTGAGGCGTTGGATGTGACTTGTGGAGGAGGAGGAGGATCTTAGAAAGTGGCCCCTAGGCATTGATATTGGAGAATTTATCTATGCTCGGCGAGACTGTTTGATTGCATGAGGGGCCTATTGAATGCATCACATGTTAGTTTCGTTCTCGTCTGATGGGTGAAGATACAGCTCGTGAATGCGTGATACGCGCTTTCCTTTCGTTTGACGTGAGAAAGCATGGAAGATGGGGGTAGGAGTGTGTGCAATAAGGGAGAGTTATCCACAGGTTATCGGAGGAGTGTGGGAGAGTGAAGTGTATCGCTTCGGGGACAGAATCTCCCAGCTGGTGTAGAAATGGGGATGAGTGGGGATCGTAGATGGTGTATGTGTACGGCACTTGTATTAGGGATTATAAAAATGTCGAGCCGGCGAAAATCTCAGAACTAAGTTTAAGGGGTTTCTTATCTTCCCGTGAATCACAAAAAGAGAATAAGGCGACCTGGATTCCGTCAAATGCTTATTGCACCACAACATGTGCTGTATATATATCTTCCCTGTTCCCTACACCGACCGCATACCAAGCCATAAATACTCCATTAAGACTCAAAACAACAAAGCATGAAATACGGCACCCATTTCAAATCCATCCTCCTGCAGTTCCGCTCCTCCTGCTTCTTCTTCTCTACCGGTATTCATACAACATCTTTCGGAAGCACCTACATGCGACCCACCCGGCTCTTATCCTTCAATCCTATCCAGTAAATTCAAGAAATGTCATAAGCCTTGCATATCCACTGCACTATCTAAAACCAAGATCACATGCCAAGCAAGAAAAAATGGGTCCGGGTCACAACCGGACAACTGTCCGTACCCTAACCTAAAACATCACATACACTCCTCCTCCTCCTCCTCCTCCTCTCTCTGGTAGCCCAACAGAACCCGAGTAACATCAAACAAGTATTCCCGAGAGCCAGCCACCCCCACTCCGGTTCGTGCGATGTGGAGGATGATTTGCATGCAGCATAGAAACTTATTAGAAGACTCACGACGAACCTTAACACGTAACGACAACCGCGCAGCAAGAAGGACCGTTATTGGTTCTGGGAGGGCACTGAACCAGTATAGGCTACCGCATTATAAACTTCGTTATTATCGGGCCATGAGTTTTGGATTAATGAGTAATGCTTGGAGGTTGAGAGAAGGGAGTTTGCTGATCGAGGGCGTAAGTCTTTGCCGAGAGAGAGCCCAGGTTTGGGATTGGAATGGGCGGATGAACCTGTGCGGCATGGTGTGATCTGATTGTGTAGATTTCCGGGTTTTGGCTATATAGATCTTGAATGGTCAGATTTGGCACAATCGATTACCGCAGTTTGTCGGACGGGTACGGGCCGGAGCAGGCTTTCGTCGGCTTCGCTTGTGCCCCGGAGCTGGCTTGTGAATGGAGTTCCGAGTTTGGAATGGGAAGAGGGACTGAGCGTTAGTTGTGGGTTGCAAGGTGGTTCCATGGGTCCCGCGGAGGGGAAGAAAGGGAAAGGAGAGTGGAGTATCATAATATCATACTCGTACCATACAGCTTTGTTTTGACAGTACAGTACATGGGAAGGTCCAAGGGCCGATGGAAAGGGTATTGTAGGTCCAGGGACCCGAGAAAACTTTACTCCAAAATATTTCCGGCCTTCGGTTGGCGGCACCAATGCCATCGCAAATCACTAAATGCATCTTCACAAACAATCACTCTGTCTTCTGCCCTGCCCTTCTTGAAACACCCTGAACCACAGCCAAACTCAAACTTCACATATGATACTAAGTCCCCCTTTGGTATCATATCTCAACACTAGCTCCCTCTATCCCACCCCTCCCCCCCGCGGACCCCCACCATCACCTCCCCACAACACAACAACAACAGATCGACACAAAACAAAACACAACACAAACACCAATCCCCTTACGGCGGCAAAGGGAACTACCGTAAACATGTCGGACCAACAGTTTGCCACTGCTACTGGCGCTGCCCCACCACAGCCGCCGACCCCACGAACCCCTATTAGTCCCGCCACACCCGAATCTCTGTCTGTCACTACTCCCCTCTCGCCAACCCCACTATCAACCCTCTCCAAAGCATTCACAAATCTGGAGCTCGAAATAGCTCACCACGAAAACACCCTCTACAACATCCAAACCACCCTCACCACCCTCCTCCCTGTGACCCAACAAACAACCCTGAATATCCTTAGCTCGATCGAAAACGCCGCGGAAGACCTCTGGTTGCTGAAACAGCAATACGAGCGTGCGAATGTAGCACTCCTACGTCTTCGTCTCGACGAAATTCGCCCAAACAACAGCAGCAGCAACAACAGCAATGGCGAGCACAACAATAATGATGAGGAATTAGACCAGATAAGCAAGATCGCCGAGATGATCTCCAAGAGCCTGAGGTGGGCCGAGGAGTTCAGAAAGGAGCTTGGAAGAAGGACCGACGCGGTTTACTTCGCCGCCGGGGACTTGGAAGGTATCGAGGTTGGTGATGCAGATGGGGAGTTGGAGGTTGTTAGAAGTGGGTGGGGTGGACTGGGGGTTGTTTGTGCGGATGGTGTTGCCGCGGTGGGGCGATTGTGGGATGATGGGAGAATTGATGAGACGGCAGATGACGATTTTTGGGATACCGGGGAGAATACTGCCAATATGATCTAAGCAGACCCACAGACCCGCAGGAGTAGGTGAGTCCCATGTGCGGACTAGTCTACCCGCATTTTATTATCTTTTTCATTGTTTTATATTCTCTTCTTTTCTTTAAATTACACATTTTAATATCACCCGGGTCAATCTCCACTTTCTAGACCAGTTTTTATAGAGCTTTCTAATAGCAATGGTAACGACAATAATAATGCTAATAACAATACCAATAACAATAACTAAAATACCCATATCTCAAAACGTAATTTTTAAAAAATAGGTCTCACTATGATACATCAATTACCGGTATTTCTCCCCAAACTCTCGACACCCCCCAAGAATCACATACCCTCACTCGATACCACACAACCACATCTTCCAAATCCAGCAAGCCAGAATAATACCCTCCTCCCCCATACCGCGTCCATCATCAAGCAACGGAGTTACGAGCAACGACTCTCACCAGTATGTACGATATATCATACCCATCCCAGAAAGAAGAAAAAATCCCCAAGTCCTCCAGACCGCCCAAAGTTACCACCGCACTGGGATAATACTCACTTACTCACATACTCACATGTAGTTGTTTCACTCGTACCAACCAAGAATAGAATAGAAGCTAATTCTTGGTGTTTCAAGAGTCACCAATCACGTTCATCATGACTCAGAACCCACCGATGCCTATCCTCCCCCAAATCGGAATTTCTTTTCAGACCTTTTTGCTTTGCTTTTGCTCCGGATGTGTTGTGGCGGTATGTAGTTTAATGTTGCTCGTGGTGGGGTTGTACCGTATTACAAGTACGAGTTGAGTGGGTGGGTCGTAGCGGGGCAATTTACGCATGCATCACAAGTTTAAGCTTTGGTGCTGTGCGGTGTTTCTGGTGGAGTGGAGGCGCTTTGGGGGGGGTAGGTAGGTAGGTAGGTAGTTAGGGTGGTAGGGAAGCGAGTTGAGATTTGTGCGTGGCGGGTGAGCGGTGGAGAAATTGCTATGATAGAAGGGTTGGAAGTTTGCTTGCTTGCTTTGCCTGGAAGGGGGGATGGGATGGGATGTAACTTATAGATAGGTTATAAGAGTGTTAAAGTATTAAAGTATGATAATATTATGATACAACACAAGTACAGCACAAGGGCGGAAAGGAAAAAGGTACAGTAGAGCGCGGTAGTAGTGTGTGTATGTATGATTGGTGCTTGAATTCAGGCTTCCCCCCTTCTCTATCTCTTTCAACGGTTGCGAGCTCTCGCTCAACCTTCCAAATTACAGGAAATAAACAAATAGATAAATAACGAAAAGGAGGGGAGGACGAAAGGAAGCATGACCCAATCAATATTACAAGTATATCCAAAACTTGCGCTTAAATCCCCTCCCCTCCTGTCCCCCCTAAACAAACAAAAACGAAGACAGAAGAGCTTCAAGGAAGCTCCTTCTCCGTCAAACTCTCATGCTCGCCCTCCCCTCCATCACCTCTTCCACCCCGCGCCTTACTCGAGAACATTCCCTTCAAACCAAACACTTTCTCACACAGGAACAGCCTCAGCCAAATGATCAGCCGGATGATCACAAACACCGCGCAAATAGCCACGGCAATGCCAAAGACGTACGCGGCGACCATGCCGGAACCTTTCTTGCCCGGGTCGAGGAAGGAATAAGTGTAGAAGTGTTTGGTTGCCCTGGTAATGTAGGCGACGCCCAGGTAGCCCACTAGAATTAGAATTAGGAAGGGGATGTGTATCCATGGTGGGCTCTCAGTGCGGGGGATGATGACTTCGAATATCGCGAAGACTGAGTTCAGGGTGTGGAAGGATATCTAGGGGGGTCAGCCTGGTCGATTGGTGGAGGAGGAGGATATTACATTGCTCCATGCTGAATATCTAGTGCCGAATGGACTTTCATCTGGCGCCAGGATGACCCAGTATACAACCGTTCTAAGAGCGATAGAGAGTATTGTTTAGCGTGCATCCTTTTTTTCTTCCTTTTCCGACCCCCCCATACATTCCTCCCGAAACTGGTATTCCCGCCCCCATCCATCCGTCCATCCACACACACCACCCCACCCGTCGACACTCCCCCTTCCAAAAAGGAACTCCAAACAAATAATAACCAAAATAAAACTAAAATAAAGCCAATACTCACACCAAAAACGGGAACGTAATAATAGTAGTATAAAGCAAACTGTGCAAAAATTGCAACACCTTCGGCCACTTCCCCAACGGAGCCCTCCCACTAAAGGCATAAACAAGCGTGTGAACTGCTGCGACAGCAAAGTAGCAAGCAAGCCCCCAGTACGTCAGGTTTGTAAAGTACGAAAAGCTGTTCCGCGTCTCATGCGACCCGTTGATCACGGCTGAGCGAGCGATGCGGTAAAACAGCGCGGCGAAAATGTAGCAAGCGATCAGCAGCCGGGTGCAGGCGAGCACGACCGGGGGGAGAATGCTGGAGGTTTGGAAGCGGTTCGTCGGATCGAAGGGGGAACCCACGCCGAGAAGCTTCATCGTGGCGGCGGCTGCAGCGTTTTTCCCTTGGTTAGATTGCTGCTGGTTAGGATTGAACTGTACTTTGTTTATTTATTCAGTGATGGCAACCCGAGACTCGAAAGCCTGAATGAGCGACGTGGAAGGCGCGAGGCTAGTTGATTGGGAGGATGGAAGGCAAAATTAAGTCACGGAACGAAAGAACGGAATGTGGGGAAGGCTGTGAAAAAAGAGATTTTAAGTTATCGTGGATCCTCCCTCCCTGAACGCTGGATGTACGAGTACAGTAGATGCGCCGGGGAATGGGGGAAAGTGAGGTATTGTATGGAAGGGCGGGGGAGAGGGCGGAAGGAAGAACCGATAGGTGGGAGTCAAGTTACGGTACGAGTAGTCAATCACCCGGGAGATGAAAACAGCAAAGCGCACTTAAAAGGTTGATAGTCTGAAGCCACATCTGCAACATCTTAATCAACAATCGAAGAAGCAAGCGTGATTCATTGCTAGCCATTGCTTGGGATGGAGGGTTCGATCCCAATAGCCCGCTTGCTCAATGTCAGTAGGAAACAGCGCGAGTGCACATCCACCGGAGCCAATATGATACCGGTACTGTACCAGTATCGGTATCATACTGGGCCAATACTGTAAAATATCGAGAGGATTGGCGCCAAGACAGACATGATTCTACTATTATAATATTCAAGAGGTCCGAATACTGTACTTTACTCATATATATGGCTGAATATCATATATTAGGCCACTTGGATGGGGGTGCTCTCTCGTTTGGAGCCCAAGATATCTTCTTGACGAGAGAATGATGTGCCGCCCCTATCATATCGGTGTCAAAGACAGGGATGACTAAGGCACTTCCCAAGCTTCAGCAATGAATAGCATATACCGATACCAGTACTTGTATCATATGGTGCACATACGGCGTTCGAGTAGCAGCTCTGAATGTTTTCCCACTTGGTCAGCTTTCTCGCTTGTGTATGAGTATGATGACATTTATACACCTTGAAGACACCGTACCTTGGGACTCGTGGAATCTCACGTCATAGACGAGAAAGACCCCGTATCGACGCGAGGGGGTCCTTCCCTCTTCAACGCTTCCTTGTGTGGCAGTACTGTACGGTACTGGAATTACCGGTACCCTGTCAGATCCTGCTCGTACTGTACTGTACTGTACTCGTACTTGTATGAATGTAGTGTGACGGAGCCCAAGTCCATTTCTGGTCCATCAGTACAAGTACTTTTATTAAATACCGGTAGCCAGCCAATACCGGTACCGTATCAAACCATTAAGCAAGCATGATTCCTGCGCAGCTGCGGCAGTCAGCGGAAAGGTGCAGTGTCACCTTTCTCGTCAGGGCAAAAGGGTTCAAGACAGGCGAGGAGTTTCTTCCCATGTTGCTATAAAAACCTGAATGGAAGATAGGTGTCTCTCCTGGTCGGATTCTGTGTACAGTGCTAGTACAGTGCTGGTAATCTCTATTGCTCTCTCGCAACTCAACTGAGGGCTACGGTAGGTTTGTCGCCAAGAAAGGGGATCCAAATGTCCGTCCTATGCTGTGATACGATGAGGGTTGGAGAACCGAAGCCCAAATCTCCTCCTGCTTGGCTAATTCGTGTATAATGGGTAAATTAAGGGCATAGAATTGGGTTCG